ATAAATTTTTAAAAAATTGGTCTTTTTAGAATGAAACAAAGCTGTCATGTCAAGTCCCTTTTTACTTCATCTACATTTTAAAAAATGAAGATATCTGTTTACTGTTGTCATGAATTTGCATACAATATAGACAACACTGTACATTTAGTATGTTTTTTGTACATCTAGTATGCAAATAGGAGCTCTGGTAGCATAGTGCCTAAGGCATTTGACTGCTCACCAGAAGGCTGGCGGTTCAAACCCACCAGCCACTCCTTGGAAGGAAGGTTGGACAATCCTACTTCCGTAGTGATACTGCCTCGGAAACCCAAGGAAGGGTCGCTATGAGTCGGGGCCGACTCGACGGCAAACAACAACAACAACAACAGTATGCAAATGGGCATGCTTTTGTTTCTCATTTCCAAATTGCCTTTGTGCCTTGCTTAGGCCCTAAGAAAGTATGATCCTAGGAATGCACAGCATCACCTAGGAAACACACCTGCACCAATGAACAAACACCCACTGGACAACCACATTAAACCTTCTTGGGAGTGCAAAGAAATAAATGCCTTGACAAGTGAAAAGGTCTAAGAGATGACAGTATAAGGACAATTTGAATTGAAAATAAATTAGATAGCACAATACCAAAACCAAAAACCAAACTCACTGCCCTCGAGTCAGATCCGACTCACAGCGACCCCTCCTTGGGTTTCCAAGGCAATATCACTATGGAAGTAGATTGCCCACTCTTCCTTCCGAGGAGTGGTTATGTTGGTACCTTGGGATCAATTTCAGAAATATACATGGTTTGACGAAAAAGTTGGAAGCTCTTTTGTGTGTGTACCCAAGTGGTTTTATAGTTTGCAGTAATTTGACACATTTCCCAAACTCAACACATTAATCAAAAAGACAAAAAGTTGTAATAAGAGTAGCAACAGGCCAAAAGATTTGAGTAAAGTATCCCAATGTTTGATATCATAAAGTCTGAAAAAGCTCTAGTTTGAAATTCCTGAAAGAATTGTAAAGGGTAGGATATATATGTGTATACATGCCTACATGTCTATATTTGTACGTAGTGCCTAAGACATTTGACTGCTAACCAGAAGGCTGGTGGTTCAAACCTACCAGCCACTCCACAGAAGGAAGGTTGGGCAAATCTGCTTCTGTAGAGATACTGCCTTGGAAACCCAAGGAGTCAAATCGACTCAATGGCAGTGAGTTTGGTTTTGGTCTGTGTATGTAATGGAGCTCTGGTAGTGTAGTGCCTAAGACACTTGACTGCTAACCAGAAGGCTGGAGGTTCAAACCCACCAGCCACTCCTTGGAAGGAAGGCTGGGCAATACACTTCTGTAGTGATACCGCCTCAGAAACCCAAGGAGAGGGTGGCTATGAGTTGGCTACAACTTGACAGCAGTTAGTTGTTTTCTTTTTTAACTTGGAAATAATTTAAATGTCTAAAATAGCATCTCAGTTACTAAATAATCAAATATATAAACAATGGAGACTTACACAATCTCTGGAGTCTCTGAGTTGTATAAATGGTTAACACTTTATAATGTATATAAATATATACATTATATGTATGTTGTTGTTGTTATGTGCCGTCACGTCTGATCTGACTCATAGCGAACCCTCCTTGGGTTTCTGAGGCAGTATCACTATGGAAGTAGACTGCCCAACCTTCCTTTCGAGGAGTGGCTGGTGGGTTTGAACCACCAGCCTTCTTGTTAGCAGTCAAGTGCCTTAGGCACTATGTTACCAGAGCTCCCATTATGTTATACTGTATAATATATATATATATATATATATATATATATATATACACATACATATTATACAGTATAATGGTTGCTTACCAAAAGGTTGGAGGTTCTAGTCCACCCACAGGTGCCTTAGAAGAAAGGCCTGGTAACCTACTTCTGACAAATTAGCCACTGAAAACCCCATGGAGTCCAGTTCTACTGTGACACACATGGGTCACCCTGAGCCAGAGTCAACTCAACTGCAACTGGTACTGGTATACTGTCTTTCAAAGAGTATTTATGCTGAATACTTAATGTTATTGTTGTTGTTAGATGCCAAGCTGGTTGCACCTCATAGCAATTCTATGTATAACAGAACAAAACACTGCCCAGTCCTGCACCATGCTCACAACTGTTGCTATGCTTGAGCCCATCACTGTAGCCCACCATGTCAACCCATCTCTTTGAGGGTCTTCTCCTTTTTTGCTGACCCTCTCTCTACTTTACCAAGCATGATAATCTTCTTGAGGGACCGGTCTCTCCTGACAATGTAGCTGAAGTACGAGGCAAAGTCTCGCCATCCTTTCTATTAAAGAGCATTCTGGCTGTACTTCATCCAAGACAGATTTGTTTGTTCTGGCAATCTATTCAATGTTCTTTTTCCAACACCATAATTCAAATGCATCAACTCTTCTTCGATCACCTTTATTCACTGTCCAGTTTTGCATGCATACGAGGTGAGTGAAAATACATTGACTTGGCCAGGCGCATCTTAATCTTCAAAGTGACATATTTGTTCTTTAATACTTTAAAGAGGTCTTTTGCAGCAGAATTTCCCAATGCAATTTGCCATTTGATTTCTTGACTGCTGCTTCCATGGGCATTGATTGTGGATCCAACTAAAATGAAATCCTTGACAACTTCAATCTTTTCTGTTTATCATGATGATCCTTATTGGTACAGTTGTGAGGAGTTCTGTTTTGTTTATGTTGAGGTATAATCCATACTGAAAAGTGGTTAAGGCATTTGGCTGCTAACCAAAAGATGTGTGGTTTGAACTCACCAGCCATTCTGTGGAAGAAAGATGAGGCAGTCTGCTTCTGTAAAGATTTACATCCTTGGAAACCCAATAGGGGTCATGAAAATCCATTTTGAAGGCTGTAATCTGGGAATACTTAACCAAAACAAAACCCAATTCACTGCTATTAAGACGGTTCTGACTCATAGTGACACCATAGGGTTTCCAAGGATATAAATCTTTACGGAAGCAAATTGCCTCATCTTTCTCCTGTGGAGTGGGTGGTGAGTTTTTGAACCATTAACTTTTGGTTAGCAGCCAAATGTCTTAACCACTGCACCACCAGAGCTCCTTGGAAATATTTAATAGCCTGGGAAAATGCTCACAAAATAATGTCAAAAAAGGTCATAAAATTACTACTAAAATTTGTTTTTTAAAATTATAATATCACCATATATCTCTGGGTTATGAAAAGTTTGAAGATTACAATATTAATTTTATACTCTTCTGTATTTTTTACCCACTATCCATCTGTCCGTTTCTCATACTGTGATGGCTTACATATTGCTGTGATGCTGAAAACCACACCACTGGTATTTCAAATATCAGAAGGGTCACCATTGGTGGACAGGTTTCAGCAGAGCTTCTAGGCTACAAAAGACTAGGAAGAAAGGCCTGGTGATCTACTTTTGAAAATCAGCCAGTGAAAACCTTATGGATTACAACACAACACTATATGACTCTCTTTCTTTGGATACATCATCAGGAGATGATCACTAGAGGAGGATACTGTGTTTGGTGAAGACAAAGGCCAATGAGAGCAAGGAAGACCCTCAGTGAGAGGAACTGGCACAGTTGCAATGATTATATGGGTTATATGTAATGTATGGATTACATCTCAATATAAAGAAAACAAAAGTCCTCACAACTGGACCTATAAGCAGCATCACAATAAATGGAGAAAAGATTGAAGTTGTCAAAGACTTCATATTGCTGGGTTCTACAACTGACGCCAATGGAAGCAACAGTCAGGACATCAGACAACGTACAGCACTAGGCAAACCGGCTGCAAAGGACCTCTTTCAAGTGCTGAAGAGCAAAGATGTCTCCTTGAGGACTAAGGTATGCCTGACACAAGCCATGGAATTTTCAATTGCCTCATATGCATGTGAGAGCTGGACAATGAATAAGGAAGACTGAAGAAAAGTTGATGCTTTTGAGCTGTGGTGCTGGTGAAGAATGCTGAAAGTACCATGGATTGCTAAAAGAACTAACAAATCTGTCCTGGGGGAAGTGTAGCTGGAATGTTCCTTGGAAGCAAGAATGGCCAGATTTTGTCTCACCTACTTTGGTCATGTTGTCAGAAGGGACCATTCCCTGGAGAAGGATGTCATGCTTGGTAAGGTGGAGGGGCGACGAAATAGGGGAAGGCCCTCAACAAGATGGATTGACACAGTGGCTGTGGCAATGAGCTCAAGTATAGCAAGGATGGAGCTGGTGTCTCGTTCTGCTGTCTCATAGGGTCGCTATGAGTGGGAGACAACTTGCCGGCACCTAACAACAACAACAGTTGCAATGATGGCCTTGAACATGCTGGTAATTTGAGGATGATGCAAGACTGCATGACATTTCATTCTGTTGTACATGAGGTTGCCATGAGCTGGCATCAATTTGATGGCAGTGATTGATCAATCAATCATTGGATCTATCTATCGATCATGTCTATATTTTCCACAATGAACATATATTCATAAAAACAGAAAAATACCATGAAACAAAAGATTTATTAAAAATTGAAGGCTTCTGAAAGGTAGGAGTTCACCAGAGAGCTTTGCCTAATGACTTCTCTCAGTATACTGTAAATGGTATTGCCATAGCCACTGTGTGGTAAAGGTATGAAATAACAGCCACACACTCAAATACCATTATATGTCACTTTATTGAGGGAATTATGCTGCTACATGTTAATACTATTCACTTAATTACTTTTCATTATGTCAAGCAAGACTCCAAAGGCCACAAGTCATGAATTACACAATTACTTTCTCAGATATACAGGAACACAAAAATCAAATACAAAGAATTTTTCGAGGTTCAAGTGAATATGAAGATTGTCTTTTAGTTTCTTGGCTGGACATTCCCTCCACCCCATCATAAGGTGGCCATTAAGGATCAGGAAGTACAGAGGCATGGAAGAAGGACAAAAATGTACAGTGTAAACAAGCGAAAACAAAATTTTCTAGATTTTATCTTCAAAGTTTCAAATCTTTTTTTTACTTTTTGCACCAAAAAAGCTATCAATACTTTTCATTCCACTCTTGTCAACTTTAGCCAAAGCCTTCTGAGCTGCAGTCATTTTGCTATTTTTCTGTTAATGAAAATAAGAGGAAAAACTGTTATGAATGTAACATTTATAAATCACATGTGCAAATCAAACAAGACTGTGCATCTCTCGAGGTTTATTGAGAGGTAAGCCTTCACTGCTAACACGCCTCATAAGGGAATGATTATGAAAAAGAAGGACAGAATTCAGACCTAAGAGACAGAATATGTTAAAAGAGGCAGAAGACAAAACTGCCACCTTCTGAGGAGTAGAATGTTACACCAATGGTCTACTTGAGGGGGAATAATTCTGGAGGGCCATTAAGTGCAATAGCACCAACAATGGAACTGACACAGACTGCAATTCAAACTGCATTGTCAGAGGGAGGAATTACAGCCTTGTATTACCACAGGATGAATAATTCACACCAATTTACCATTTGATTTTATTCACACACTCTATGGAAAACAAGGACAACAATATTATGTTCCAAAGATGACCTGTATTGCAAGGCATCCTGGGAGTGGCAGAACTGCTGCTCCATTTTTCCTCTAACAAAGGAATGCTTTTGAAAAAGCTGACTCCAAATAATTCTGTCCTGTACATTTCTATCTCTTTCACAACTTGCTTAGAACAATAGTGGATGGAAACTGGTAAAGGGGGAAAAAAAAATCATCAGTCTCCCTGGGACTGTATAACAGAATCACTGCCAAAGTATCTTTTAAGGCTACAGTATATGATCTCGTGCTCTTCCTTCTTATAATCTGTCACTCACAATTTAATGGGCTCATTTTTTGGCTAGACAGTGAAAACTGACAGTCTCTTTCAGTCAAGCTACCCGACACACTTTACTGACATCTTGGTCCAACCCCCACTTCACTGTTGTTATTCCCAAGTGGATACAATGGGGAGTGGCACTTAGAAGGGTGGGACAGAAATAATGCTCTCAGAGAAGCCCAGAACATCCCTGCTAACAAAGAGCACTGAGACAGCTGGCTAGTTAGCCACATCTCAAGTTGAAGCTTCCTTGACACCATGTGCCAAAATGAATTACATATAAATTAAACAATAATTAAAAAAAAAAATTAAACTCTAAAGGTAGATGTTAAATGTTAAAATGTAACTGGAAGATTCAGACTTTATCTTGGGATGGGCCAGATCTTTCTAAGTATAAAGACAATGGTAAAATCATTAAGAAAAGCAATTTTTATACTTCATCCTCAGGAAATTTAAAACTGATAAAAAGTCAAAAAGAGTAAAAACTATTGGACAATTATTTGTATCTATATACCATGAAAAGTGTTAATAGGCTTAATTTAGAAGGAGCTCTTAGAGTCAACAAGAAAAACATTACTTTTCCAATATGAAAACAGGCAAGGGATTAAAAAAAAAAACAACGCAACGCACTGCCATCAAGTCAAATCCGATTCATAGGGACCCCTCCCCTTAGGTTTCTGAGGCAGTATCACTACGGAAGTAGATTGCCCAACCTTCCTTCCGAGGAGTGAGTGGCTGGTGGTTCCTTCTGGTTAGCAGTCAAGTGCCTTAGGCACTACGCCACCAGAGCTCCTAGGCAAGGGATATGAACCAATAATTTTAAAAACTGCAAACAGGCAATAAGCATTTGGAAGCTAATTAGTTGTAAACTAATTAGCAAACTACTTTGACAGGCAAAAATTTTCAAGAATAAAAATAACACTCACTCAGTGTTATCAAACATCAAAATGAATATTCACCAGCAATAATGGCTGAGAGTACAAATTTTATTACATATTTGGAAAGCATTTTGGCTACATATACTTCAATACTTATGAAAGACTTCATCTTTTCTGAGCTCCTACTCTGACTTCTAAATTGTGTCTAAAGAAGTAATCAGAGGTGCAGGCTGACTATAAACAAGAATGTTGATCACTTCCTTATAACAAAAGTTTTTTAAATGTGAAGTTATCTATGTGGCCAAAAATAGGAAAATGATTAAGTGAATTATATTCCATATGAAGAAAAAAAAATAACATGCACTTAAATATTGTGAAGCTATTAAAATGTTTTCAAATATTTCACAATATAAGTATTTTTACAATATAATGGTAAATGAAAAGGAAAGAACTAAAAACCATATAAATATTACAATGGCAATTTTAAAAGCTCTGTGCGTATGTGTGTGTATTACATGCATAAAATCCAGGAAGAAATAATACCAAAACATTTGCTAAGGCTACTGCTTAATAGTGGATTAGCAGTTTTGTTAGCATCATTTCTGGGAAGGTTGGCAAAAACATTACCTGTGCTGCACCCTCCCTTGCCCCACCCTACCACACTATGAATACCTAGCAAAGTTCAGGCACACACTTGCTGCGTTTATTACATTTCTTTGATTTGTAAGAAGTCTTCATTGCCATTCAAAACTTCGAATTAATCATTATACCAGAGAAATACAAGTCACCCGTTCTGCATAGCCAGAACTGCGGAAGCATCATGCAGTGGCACCCAGGCGCACAGTCAGCATGCCAATGCCCTATGCCCTGGACACACGTACCTTTTCAGTCTTCAAATCTTTAGTGTTAAACTTAGTATAATCTTCTTTTGCTTCTACGGGCTCATCAGATAACTTTATTTTCTGCAACGTTAGAGGAGTGAAGTGATGTAAAACGTCACCTTGATGCTTAAATCAAGTCATTTTAAAAAAAACAACAATTATGTGCAATTTGGACCCAGCACTCATTTCAAACAGAGGCCAAATGGAGCAGCAGACACTGCAAAGGGCTTGGAATTTTACAAGTCTCTCACAGTTTACCAATTATCTATGGAACTAAGGTACAATGAGATGGATTGACACGGTGGCTGCAATGATGGGCTCAAGTATAGCAGGGATTGTGGGGCTGGCGCGGGATTGGGCAGTGTTTCTTTCTGCTGTGCATGGGGTTGCTATGAGTCAGAAACGACTCGACGGCACTTAACAACAACAACAAGGTACATCCCATTTCCCAGAAGTGGACTTGGTGATGTGGGCTATGATTGGGTAGCTAGAGGACCCAAACTGTCAGATAGTCTCACAACACTAAAGACACACTGTATATGCATCAATGTATGGCGAGAATCCAGTGACTGCTGACTGCCAGGACTGTGTGAGTGGTGAAAGCAAGGCAAAGTGGTCACAAGGGAAAAGCCCCTCTTGGGGGCCAAGTGCCAGCCTGAACCTCACTCTAGGGCTGGTTAAAGCCCACGTATGAATACAGGGATGATGCCATTAGATTATTACCAACTTTGAACAGCTGTGTGTTCTTCCCTCCTGTTATTCAATTATCTCATTTCATCCACACAAGAACCACCTTGCAAAGCAAGCAGTCAGCAGGAGTGGGAAGCACAGAGAGGTAAATGATCAGCTTAAGGTCACCTCAGAGAGGATTTGGAGCAAGACCTTCATTTTTGACAACTGCTCTTTCCATTAGATGCAATGACAATGAAGTCAAACGTTTACTTAATATTTCACCTCTAACATGAATGTTTTGTACCAGTGAATAAGGGAATCTTGCCAGAAATCATACGGTGGCCTTAATGTTCACAATACAGAACAAACTGTGATACCAAACCAAAATCAAACCAAACTCACTGCCATCAAGTCGGATCTGACTCACAGGGACCCATCCTTGGGTAGTTGGTTGCCCAATCTTCCTTCGAAGGAGTGGCTGGTGGGTTTGAACCGCCAGCCTTTTGGTTAGCAGTCAAGGGCCTTAGATATACCTACTAAGAAAACATACCATAAGCAGGTAGTTAAGTATGGACGTTTAAAATGGAGAACTGACTGCACTGTGGTCATAACTCAGATTTTTATGGGTTGACAGGACCCAACATAGATCTGTCCTAGGAAATGCAGACTTGTTCCTAGCTTCACTTTTCACGCCCAAGATTTTGCTAAACCAAGAACTGGTAGAGCTGGTGATAAAAGATGCACAGCATGCGTAGCACAGGGAAAAACCAACATGTCTTAAGATTCTTCACTGTAGTAACAGAGGGGCATCCTGGGAATGAATGTACCATATACTGTGGGAAACCTTTTCTTGGTCACATGGCAGCCTCTAGCAAATAAAGCGTTAAAAGAAAAAATAGGTGTATCACGAATGGGTTATCTACCAGCCCAAAGTGAAAGCATATACACAACTTTGTTAAGAACACATGTTTCTATTTAAATAAAGATAGCAAAGGGTGTATAGGTGAGGTGTATTTTCACTAGGCAGGTATCTTCAACCAGGAGAGTGGAACTCACAGCTAATAATGCTACAACATTTTCAGAACACCAAAAGCTTTAAGTCATGAGGATGTTCCCTTCTTTACCAATGGAAAAATGTTTCTAATATAGATGTCACTTTAACAACTTGAACACTGTTTACTTTTTGCTGACAAATCACATAAAAAATCTTCATAGCGAGAGTTTAAGATGAAATATACTTATACATATAAAACGTTTTGCAATATGACTGATTGGTCCAAGTGTTTCCATGGCTCACTCCTAAACGAGATCCCAGTCTAATGAAAAAGAACATGATTGTGGCAGTGTTGTGCCCAGGTTATGAAGGAGCTGCTCGGTGAGAGAAGTATGCTAACACACGACAATGCAAAAGCAATAGGAGAGTTTACTAGCTAACTTAATTTAGGGTCCTTGCCCTTACCAAATCAGTGGCTTGAGCAAAAGATCCTGTGCCCCGGTACTTTCACAAATTTATGGAAAAATATGGGGTGGAGCAGCACCAGGGCGAGAGGGTACAGATGATTGGTTGTTACTAAGGGATTTAGGGCAGTGACCTAAGATGTTGGGG